AATAACATTCATGAAATCTATCAGTCAGGATTTAGGCCTCATCATAGCACAGAGACAGCTCTGGTTAAAGTAGTAAATGACCTACTACTGGCCTCAGATCAGGGTTGTGTCTCCTTGCTTGTGTTGCTTGAACTTAGTGCAGCTTTTGACACCATTGATGATACTATTCTCCTTGATAGACTAGAAAATGTTGAAGTTAAGGGAACGCCCCTCTCCTGGCCCAGGTCTTATTTGACTGATCGTTATCAGTTTGTAGATGTAAATGGTGACTCTATGCATACTAAGGTAAAGTTTGGTGTTCCACAATGTTCTGTTTTAGGCCCACTGCTTTTTTCTCTATATATGCTACCTCTGGGTAAAATTATTCGTAAACATGGTATTAGCTTCCACTGTTATGCTGATGATACACAGTTGTATGTTTCAGCAAAGCCAGATGAGAAACACCAGCTTAATAAAGTCAAGGAATGTGTAAAGGACTTTACACACTGGATGCGTATTAATTTCCTTGCATTTAATTCTGACAAAGACAGAAGTACTTGTACTAAGACCACAAGCAGATACAAGTAAGCTTTCTGATTACATAGTAACTGTGGATGGCCTTTCTGTTTCATCATATGCAGCAGTAAAAAAAAAATTCTTGGTGTGATTGTTGACTCCAGTCTTTCATTTGAAGCTCATGTAGATAATATTACTAGGATAGACTATTTTCATCTCAGAAGCATTGCTAAGATAAGAAATATAATGTCCCTACACTATGCAGAAAAACTAGTTCATGTTATCTCTAGGTTGGATTATTGTAATGCCTTGCTGTCCAGATTTTCCAGTAGGTGCATAAACAAGTTCCAGTTAGTCCAGAATGCAGCACCCAGATTCCTTCCAGATTACTAGAACTAGAAGATATGACCACATCACTCCTATATTATCCACACTGCACTGGCTCCCAATAAAATTTTGCACTGATTACCACTACAAGGTGTCCCAAAAATCTCCATACATAAGGGACTATGTATGCCAGCACAATGTCGGTTGTGCCTTCATCAGTGGATGTTCATGGACGTCCACATCTCAGTTGGTCCGCAACACTTCCAGTCTTTTTGCATTTGTTAATAAGTTTAGCAACAGTGTCGTGTATGACGTGCTTGCCGTGTTTCATGTTAAAGTCCATCGCAACCTTGCAACAGCTTCTCGATCCGGCTATGAGAATGATTTCAATACATTCTTTTGTCAAAGGCATTCTTAAAGGCTATCTGAAAAAATATATAATATAAGCTAAGTATGAAAAAGTTTGGAAGACTTTTTGCTAAAAAGTGTTAATTTCCCCTACGTATGGAGACTTTTGGGACACCCTGTATTGACCTATAAAGCACGGAATGGTCTCACGCCGCAGTACCTGAGCGAAATTCTGGTCTTTTATGATCCGCCACACCTACATTGATCAAAAGGTGCAGGCTCTTTGTTGGTACCTCAAATATTGAAAGCTACAGCAGGGGGCAGAGCTTTCTCTTACAAAGCCCCACAGTTATGGAACAGCCTTCCAATTAGTGTGCGGGACTCAGACACAGGTGAAATGGGATGTTTGGATGCTGTCCCCCCCACCCCCGTTGAGCTAAACATGCTTATCCAGAGATACCAGTTATCCTGACGTCTTCTACTCTACAGTCCTGCCTGATCCATCCTGATGCCCTAAGTAGTTCTGGTTGGAGTTCTCATCACCTGTAAACCACTCGCTGCTGCTGAGGATGGCCCCATATGGACAGCCTAAAGATCAGTGAGATTACTGTGGATGGTACTACTTAGAAACCATAAAGATGACTCAGGACTGCAATTGCTATGAACAGTTTTGCTAAGATGGCTTAGGACTGCAATTGCTACGATAGCCTTAGGACTGCAATTGCTACGAACGGTTTTGCTATCAAGTCTCCATTATTGAACAGCTGATAATTTCAACAAAATAGACTTCATGTTAAAATTATAATGAATTCAGAAATACAGTAACTCTGATGCTCATAGTCATAAGTTGCTCATAAGCTCACATGTTCCTGGTTACACAATTGCACTTTTTGACTGTATAGTATATAGTTATAGAAGCGAAATGATTTATAATCGCACTATTGTGTCACCCAGATGAGGATGGGTTCCTTTTTGAGTTTGGTTCCTCTCAAGGTTTCTTCCTCATGTGGTTTCAGGGAGTTTTTCCATGCCACCATCTCCTCTGGCTTGCTCATAAGGGATAAATTTATAAATTTAAAATTCATATCTGGAATTTATGTATTTCTGTAAAGCTGCTTTGTGACAATATCCATTATACAAATAAAATTGAATTGAAATTTAGCTGAATTAATTTGAACAAATATCATTGAAGTAAAACTAATAAAATCATGATGTGCTTTCTCACAACCACTAAAACTAAAATTTCTTGGGTATTTTCTTACCATTTTCCAAGCCAAAAAAGTTTCAAGCGATTGTTACAAAGATAAATGAACTGAATCTACCACTTCATGTCAGGAATCCGGAATGCCAATGAGACCAGAATTCCTATCTAGAGATAGTGTATCTTTCTGTTTTACACCTACCGGCACAATATTTCAGACATAGAACACTTGAAAATAACTAGTTTACTCAAAATATTATTTAGCTGACTAGATTATCTCTCTCATTTACATGTTTTTGCTTCTCATTTACAACATCTCAAGTTGTCATGGTCTCCCTTCTTAAAGCAAACTAAGCTAATCTTTGCCGTACATTAACTGCCACACCCCAGGCCACTCCTCTCCTACACAGGGTTTCCATTGTTTCACTATACGCAACTTTCATTGCAGTGTTTTGCCATTGTTTCTAAGCGCAAACCCAAATGGCGTTTGCTCTCTCAATACTGACTCTTTGCCTGTTTCATCATCTCTGCTATTTGGATTATTGTTTATCATTTTGAGCCCGGCTTGTAGACTAGAATTGACCTCTTTAATAAACACACAGAGCAAAAATATCTCTTGCCTCCCATTTATGGCATTAATCTCTTAACTTGATTGCCTTCATCCTCTCACACCCAGATCAGCTTTGGCAGTACAGTTCAACCCTTGAGATCCCACTAATTTGATCAGAGTTATCCTATTTATCTTCTCTAACATTACAACTCTTAAAGCTAGCCACTACATAGGACAAGACTAGCAACACTGTTAATACATCTCATTTGTGTATCACCCTCCCCAGCCCTTCACTACCACCAGCAAGAACACCACCATAAAACCACATTTCTGACTGCTGAGAACTTTGCTACCTTTTCTTTAAAAAAAAAAACATGAAGGTGGGGTGAGTATATAGTGCAAAGTTCCCTGAAGTTGGCCAGTAAGGCACATTTTTTTTCTCTCTGGTGTGTGAACACAGATGTAATCCAGACTTGGTTATCAAGATAAAAGACTCTTTAAATATCATTTTTACAAAAAAAAAATAAAAAAAAATGAATGAGTTAAAATAAGAAAAAAAACACACATTTATAATATTTACTAGCAATTTAATTTTACACATGAAAAACAAATGGGACATTTTTGAAATCACAACAGATTCTTTTTTCTTCTGGTTTGTACCTTTGGATTGAAAATCTGCCCACCACAGTAAGTTGTAAATGTTGCCAAATGTAAATGTAAAAGTACTATGCAGATCAAGTTTGGGAGCTGAGAGAGACCAATCTTAACTCCATAGATCAACACTATTCTGCCAGTGTAACCTCACTGTTTATAAAGGTGCATTAAACAGTCTTGTACTGTCATGGCCAACTTTGGAACTCTGTGTGGATTCTCTGGTTTTTCTCATCAGGATACGAAAACATATAAATAATTAAAATATGTTTACCATATGACTTTCATTATTTGGACAATTTAATAAAAGATCTTCTGTGTCAATGGGGACTCTCTGCTAGATTTTCCTTTTATTCATTTTTTCCATTTATTCATCTTTAGGAACCACTTTATCCTTGTCAGGGTCAATGTGGATTTGGAGCTTATCCCAGGACCCTTGGGCATGAGGTGGGAATACGCCCGGGATAGGACACCAGTCCATCGCAGGGCTTCCTGAACACATGTACACACCAAAGGGCAATTTAGCATAGGCAATCCACCTACTGGCATGTTTTTGGGAGGTAGGAGAAAACCAGAGAACTCATGAAGCTCACATGGACATGGAGAGAACGTCTGAACCAGGGACACTGGAGCTGTGCAGAAGTAATGCGCCACCATGTGCCACCATGCCACACACTACCTTCTCTCATTTCTATCAAAACACTTGAACCTTCAATTTTCAATATTTTTTTCTTCATTTTCAAGAAGAATAGCTGAAATACTGAAGTCTACACTTTTTTTACACAGCTGGATCTATCTGCAGATGTTAATATGGTGAACGCTCATATTCTCTGAGATTCTCTTCTTTGTCCAATCACTTTAGAATACAATAAGGTCCTGTAAGGGGGAAGACTGAAGACTGAAAGTCACATCAGCTAATGACAGGGGTACCTCAAGGATCTATGCTTGGCCCTCACATTTTCTCATTGTACGCAATCTTGGAGGAAGCAATCATCCAATCTTACAGCTTCTTGTTCTACTTCTATGCTGATGACACTCAACTCTGTGTGTAATTTCCCAGGAGCACACTTTCGTCTTTACGTGCTTCACAGACATCTCAGCTTTGTTGAAAGATCACCATCTCCAACTCAACCTATTAAAAACAGTGTGCTCTTGTCATCTTGTCCTCCTGACAAGTGCCAATTTTCAGTACATCACTGTCAAATTCGGCAAATAATTGCTACTGCCACCAAGTTTCACTTCGGGGCAAAATCTAATGAAGCTAGCCTTCACAAACTTCATCACAGCAATCTCCCAACATGAGAGACTTGGTCATAAAGTAATCAGGCTATACTTGTCAGAATTATATTTAGTTAACACTTTTTTAATTCAAAGCTACTTATAATTGGCACAGAAGACAACTGAGCACTTTGCTCAAGGACTTAAATATGGCAGCACTGAGATTCAAACTCACAACCTTATGGTCAGAAGCCCAAAGCCTTAACCACTGGGCCACTACTCCCCACCCAACAGCACATGCATTATCCCATAGCACCACTAAAGTAATGCTCTATTGCCCATTCTGTCTGCATGGATTCTTAATTGCTGCAGATGATTCAAAATGTGGCAGCATGTTTGGTCTTCAACTAACCAAAATGCACATTACAACCTTTATCTCACACTGAGGTCTCGCTGTAGCTGTCCTAAATTCAGCCCAAGCCACTAATGCTAGAATACAAAAAAAAAAACTTCCCCCATCCACATACAGACTGCAAGTGAATGCCACCATTTGATACCACCACTGCATGGTCCAAAACTAAACTGGTGCTTCGTTTGCTCTGCAGATTCTCTTTCACGACCTTCAAGAAACATCCGAAGCCTCAACTCCTCCAGGAATATTGACACAGTAACACCTTCAGCTGGGTTTAGCTGAGTGTGTATTTGTTTATCACTTCCACTGACATGAAATCAATGATGTACATAAATTATTATTCAGTTTGAAACACTCTCTAAAATATTGTTTAATCAGTGTGAGCTGTTCAATAAATTTTTTGCTCGTTGTTCATTAGTCCGATCAAATAAAAGGTGCTATGTTGCAAAAAAAAAAAAAAAAAAAAAAAAAAAAAAGTTTATCTTGTTATCATGTATTATTGGTTGTTATGGTATTTTATCATATTATTGAAAAAACTCTGCCATTTTGCAATATAGTGAATTCTACTTTCTGACAGTTAGTTCATGTCCCAGCATCTTAGGTTTTAAATAGTTAACACTTTGAACGATTTATGTTGTGCCTAAATGTTTTTTCTTGGTTAAATGCGAATGAAATGCAGTAACAAGTATGATGTCAGAATAGTAAAAATACAATCATATTGTTAGTGGTTGCATTCAATTTTCTGGAACATACTCAGCTTTGAGTTTTACTAAATCCAGTTACTTGTTCAGTGTCGCCCAGAAGAGGTTGGGGTGAGTCTGGTTCCTCTCAGGGTTTCATCGACATGTTGTTTCAGCAAGTTTTTTCTTGCCTCTGTTGCCTCTGGCTTGCTCATTAGGGACCTAATTCTACATTCAGATTTAGGTAACAATGTTAAATTTTTAAAAAGTAACTAAAAGTAAAAGGGTTTCTAATTTTGTAAGTCACATATCTGTGCTTCATGCACAAAATAATAACTAATTATAAGGTGATGATGAACTGTAATGTGTTAAATCCACCTACTAAAATCCACTCTGCTGGACTCCACCCAAGACCTTTTCCCTCCCACACCTCAAATCTTACCAGCTACAGAAACATCTCCAAAAGTCTTTCTAACTGTTAATATGTCTCTGAATGACCAGTCAATCAATTACCTGAAATCTGGTCATCACATTTTTTTAACACAAATACATCATCTGTCAATTCTTAATTTTTTTTTCAGAAATCTTAATGGTTTGATTAGAATGAAAATAATGTAAATCATATGCTATGGCCTTCACACTCACTAGATCTTGACCCAACTGAACACCTAGTGAAGATTTTGGAGTGACGTGTTAGACTACGCTCTCCACCACCACCATCATCATCATCAAAACAGCTGAGGGAATATTATTTGGAAGAAGGGTGTTCATCGCTCCAGTACAGTTACAGAGACCAAGGTGCATCAAAGTTGTTTATGTTGGTTTTCCTTTAATTTGTCACTTGTCTGTATTAAAATAATGAAAAGCAATACACATTGTACTGTAACCTTTTCCACGAAAAAAGTGCAGTAGGTTTTTTTTTTAAATTATTATCTGACAGCTAGATGGTCAGGCTTGATGGAGTTTGCCTCAGGTAGTTAAGTTGTTAAGCTCTACACACACAGCAACAATGTGAAATGGCCTTTTACACCACTGTATAACTGTAATATATATTGCCACAACCCAGAAGCAGTGAATATCCTCAGGGATGTGCTGCTGGAATGTGACTGTGATTTATATATTATCAGTTGCTCTTGGGAATCCCACTAAAAGGTCTTAACAACCACAGAAAAGCAGTCGTTAATTCATTATTTATAACTAGTCTATAAATGAAGCTTAGCCTACATACTGTAAACGTCATCTTGTATGGCCAGATAAAGTAAACTGAGAATTGAGTACTTTGTAATTAGCTGTTGTATATTTAAAAAATATATTTTATATCACACCGCTGTTGAATGCTCAATTCTGATTGGGTAGAATGTATGTATTGCAGATTTATATGTATGTAATGTGCTCTTGTAACAGCTCAGGGACTTGTATGGCAGACGCGCCACATAATCTAAGCCTAATAATAAACAAATTAATGACATGCTGTTATTAACAAAGGAGATGTTTATTTAACATTCATGGAAGGAGTCTCCAGTGTCAGTGCTTTGTTAAAGTCAGTAAGTTTTCCATCATGGGAAAGTCTTTAGGACTGAGGAGTTTATGTTTTCCGGTTTCTCAGTAACATGACAAGCAGCATTTTTTTTTTGTCTTATTAACTGCAAGAGAGAGTAAAAGAGAGAGACTATTTAGGAAATGACTGTTTATAGCTGCTATAACGTAAGTGATAACAGGAACTAACTTGTTTCATGGATGTTCCACATATTAAATGTAACTATAAATGGAAAAAAAAATGCAATTGTTGACAAATACCTGTGGTATAAGAGAAATAAAACACTTAGTGATGTACTGTTATTTGAAAACAGTCATGAAGATAATTGATTATTTTCCTATAACACCATGACACATTATGTTTTATTTGTTTCTTTAAAATGTGTGCAGACTGTGTAACATTGAGAACATAGTGGTGAGTGGTTTTGGTAAAATATAATGGCATAGAGCATAATAACTACATAATAATAGAAATAATTCCAAGATACAAAGATGCAGTTTCCTCTGTGGAAATTCTACATTTTCGATATAAAAATAATCAGGAAAATCCAAGAGATTTTGGCGATCTAAATACCATTAAAGTGCAAAGTCATTGTTTCGTAATTTATGGTCCTAAATCGACTGTTTAGGGAACCGTTAAACCATTTCCTCTGCAAAAGCTTTAGTATATTAGAAAATAAGTACCACTTAAGAACTCAATGATTCTGAGCCTAACCTGACCCAGAGCAGATTAGGTGTGCAGCCTACGTTACCATGGTGACGTAACCAGATTAAATGTGATCCACTTGAAACTGAGACAGAAAATCAAATTAAGCTCAGAGATAGCTAGCTAACGAATCAATTCTAGCAGTGTTAAAACAGAGATGGCTGCGGGGAGGGTGAGAATATTACAACTGAGTGGATTCAAGTGTTGTTCAAAGGATACGAAAGAGGTTGGAAGCAGTTATAAAGACTAAAATAAAGAATATTTGTATCACATTCAGAAAGTGAGATGCAAACTTTGAAATGGTTATATTTCAGTTTTTCACTATCTGTCCAATTGGACATGTTATGTGTTCCTGCCTCGTGTCCAGAGTTCCCGATTCCACCATGAGCATGAGCAAAAGATGAATGATTGAATGAGCTACCAATATCTTAATATACACTAATTGAGCAATTTTTTTACCTGTGATAATGAAATAAATCTCTTGAAGGTATACTTGAAATTTGTCCTCTTAATGGTGTGCAAACTTTTGCACTCAAATGTAAATTCATTTTATTTTCCTGAAATTTACAGTGCAATGTTTAGTTGTAAACACTTCTTCAACAAAATCTGAGAAAATAAAATGAACTGTTAGAATAATGGCTTTGTATTATGAAATTATTCTCATATTAAAGACTTTCAGTGCCTGAAATCATCAGATCTCAGAACTCAGTGAGTTCACTGCTGTGTGTCTTCTTTCCCTCGCTCTTCTTGTCGTGTTCAGAGACTGCATGTCTGCACAATTCATCAGTTTTGTCTTGGAATCTGTCCGGATTGCGTGTTCGAGATGTCAGTGATAACACACCTGAGAGAGCTTCTTTAACTTCACACCACTGCTATTAGTTCAGGCAGAGGCATGCCCGAAGATAAAAAAAAAATCTGTTTGTAGAAAATAGAAACCATCAGTGCTGTTAGAAGAAAATAAAAAGGTAGTTATGGATTAAAGGCCTGGACACGAGTACATCATGTCAAGAAAAAGCAAAACTGTTGACCTGATTAGTTAAATGATTAATTTAATCAGGGACATACATACATACATACATACATACATACATAAATAAATAAATAACTTTATATCACTTTTCATACACATTGTAGCTCAAAGTTCTATATAATATATTCAAGTAGTGAAAAATAATAAAAAATATATATATATACAGAGTATCATTTTAGAAATAAGTGAAAATATAATTCAATTAATATGAGCATAAAAGTAATAAAAGCACAGATATAGAATAAAGTTAAATATATCTACTTTTTAAATAATAATTTTAAAAGGAACAATATATAGATAAAATAAACTCATAAATATGTAATTTGTCAAAATGAACGTTTACTATTTACCTTCATTTTTTTTAAGTTACCATTCATAGAAACATGACGAAATAATTTCCATCCCTTCTCCATTCTTCTTCAACTTATCTGCATTATCTCACACTGATGCTTGACCTATATATAGGGTTGTTTTTTTTTGGTTGTTTTTTTTTTGCCCAGGCTGTGGTTTTTGCCAACGTGGAGATTGATCTGTGAGGCTGCAGATAGTCACTCTTTTTAATGAGGGTAAAAGCGTGAAATAGATCAACTTCATGGGAGAAAAAAACACACACATAAAACAATTTATGATACATAAATTAAGCATACTTTAAGCATACCTTTTTTACATATTATACATACATTAAGCATACTTTTTTAAAAAATATTATACATACATTAAGCATACTTTACCTGCAGTGCTGTACAATATTATAATCTAGTTATAAGTGTTTATTGTCATTGTTAGTAACATGTCTTTAAAATTTTATTTTATTAATACAAAACACAAAATAAAGATACATTGTTTGCCTTGGACTTCGTTATTTTTATTTCTTTTTCGTTTCTGCAAAAACAATAATTATAGGGTTGGCCTGGTTGTTG